TCTTATTTTTATTGTTGTACAATTTTCTTTGATAATCGTACACATGTCCATAATGGGACGTCGATTATAATTCTAACAGAATTTGAGGACTTTAAATCTGTTATGTATATTTATTTAATATTTATAAAATTATAACTTAATATACAGTATAATCTATTATTAAATATTGGATTGATGTTATTTATTAATAATATAGAATTTATTATTTTAAATGAATTTAAATATCTACAAAAAAAATTAACAGCACTTCTAAAACAAACTCATTATATAACAAACTTATAACTATCTTTAAAAACTCTTAAAAACTCTGCTTTTATCTAGTAGCATTCATATTGTTTATATATAAGTTTTCAATTATAAGTAAATAATATTAATATATTTAAAAATAACAATATAATATAGTATTGGCCATAAGTAACTATACACCTTTTAAAAATTCAAATCTAATCCAATTGTTTTAAAAATGTAGAACAAATAGTTTATTACAATTCCTGATCTCTAATTTTTTTCAGATTTTGGTAATTACTAGAACAAAATTTAAATAAGAAGCAAATTTTAGAGATTATTTTTATAACAAAATTTTTAACTTGAAAATTATTAAAAAATGATCCATAGATCAATAATTTACATAATCAAAAATTTCTAAAAATTATATGTTAAAATCAAGATTTTTTCATATTATTGGTAAAAAAATTTGACATATTTTGATAAGACAGTTGTCAAAAAATCAATTTCTAAATTTTAAGTTTGCTTAATTTAAAAAATAATTTTTTGAAATATAGTTTTTATTAATTTTAATATAATTTATTCTAAAAAATATTATAAATTAATAATTATATAGTAAAATTGATAAAAACTGTATTTCAAAAAGTCATTTTTTGAATTAAGTAAACTTAAAATATAGAAATCGATTTTTTGACAATTGTCTTATTAAAATATATCAAATTTTTTATCAATAATATGAAAGAATCTAGATTTTAATATATAATTTTTTAGGAATTTTTGATTATATAAATTATTGATCTATGGATTATTTTTTAATAATTTTCAAATTAAAAAAATTTATTATAAAAATAATCTTTAAAATTTGCTTCTTATCTAAATTTTGTTCTAGCAATTATCAAAATCTAAAAAAAATTAAAGGATTAGGAATTGTAATAAACTATTTGTCCTAATTTTTTTAAAACAATTGGATTAGATTTGAATTTTTAAAAAGTGTATGGTTACTTATAGTCAAAATTGTAAATCATATAAATTTTATAAATATTATTTAATATATAATAGTATTCAAATTTATTTGAAATTTTTTTAATATATCTAACTTAATAAAACTTATTTAATTTAAATTTATATTTAAATATAAATACTTGAATACTATAAAATTGCTTTTATTTATAACTAGTTTATTTTTTTTTGTTTTTAAATAGGTAAATATTATTATTTTATTTTTTGTATATATAAATACAGTATATATATATTCAAAAGAAATAATTTCTTTTAGATGCAAGGTATACAATAAGTTAAATATTAGCTTACCTACTTATATTATATTTAACTAATATTAAAAAGAAATTTTAAAACAATATTAATTAATTATTAAATATAGGCTGAATAGCAATTATATTTATCTACTTAAATAAGCCCACTTTAAGTGTAAGTTTATGAGTTAAGGTTAAGGAGTAGAATAGGTTTGCATTAGCTGTAGTTTAGTACTATAGAAGATATATAATATATAATCAATGATTCTTATATTAATAAAATGATTGTCGTCTAAGCCCATTTTACTATAATAAAAAAAAAAAAAAGTAATTGGATAGATAAACCAGTTTAAGCCAATTATTATTATTATTATTATTATTGTTATTGTTGGATTAGTAAACTGGTTTAAATTAATTTTGTTATTATGGTTTGGATGAATAGTGAATTTTGATTGGATGGTTGCCAGATATTGATTAATTGAAGAAGGTAAACTGATTTCAGTTTTTGAAATTAAAAAGGATTATAAATTTTTTTAAGTAATGTAGTAAGTGATACCAGGATAGAAAATATGTGAAGGTTGTATTGAAACAAACATTAGAATTTTAACTTTGTTTGAATGTGTTTTTTGGAAAGTGTTTATGAATATAACAATTATGATAATATTAATAAGAATAATTTTTATAATAATAAAGAGATTTGAATTATAAGAGAATCAAAAAATAAAAGTGTACTGCCTAGGTCTTTCCCTATGCAATCGAAGGATAAACAAGACTTTCAAACTTAAGTAGATTTCAACTAGAGGTTTCATTCTATTGCACCATTTGTCTTTAGTGTTCTTGGGTTTCTGAGTTAAAACTTGTGATAAAAAGTATAAAACATTTTTCTTTAACCAAAATTACCATATATGAAAATTTTAAGCAAAACAGACATGATCAGGAGAAAGTTTTTTATATTTTTAGATTTTGAAAAGGTTCAAAAAATTAATTTTTATTGAAAAATATAATATTTTAACATATTGATATTATATGAATTATACACTAGATAATAGATTGAATAACAAGTGTAAAATGTAAAATGTAAAAAAAATGTAAAGATTTTAAACTGGTTTTATGTTGTCATAATACAGTATTAATGAAATTGATTTTTCTTGAAAATAACAAGTCACACGATAGATAGATAGCAATCTTGATGAACAATACCAGAAAAATGTAGAAAAAATCAATATACTGTACGGTAGTCACAATATAATTATACATTTTTTTTATCTTTTTTTATTGTCGATGAATCAGAAAAGAAGTATTTCAAATTGGGTTAAATTATTTTAAGAAACCTGACGTGAGAAAAATATTGTAGATTGTGAATATGCTATTTATTGGAGCAATGATTTATTTTTATCAATTAAAATCTAATCGATTATTTTATCATTATACTGTATGTATTTACGAGATATCAAGCATCATGTAGATATTATAATTTACAAACGCCGCCTTCACACTCCTTTCCATGTTCTTTGCTTTCGTCCTTGGGTATGTCTAGGTGTTGATGCTTTGCTCTCACGAAACTAACAAAATCCGAATAACCGCCGATAAACTTGTAGTCCTTCTCGTTGCATCCTTCGTAAACGAATGGTGACGTTTTGTGATTACTTGAATTGGAAATTTTCTGATGGAATTTATAGTCGAATGAGCATGATGGCAAGATAAAGGTTTTTTAACAGCAAAGAAATCAAGTTACCGATTGCAAATGTTTGACCCTTTCGTTCCACTTTGAAATTTTTAAAAAGTGAGCTTTACTCTTCCCGACATTTCGGAATCCGAATAAAAAATCGCACGAACCTTTTCTTTTAGATGACCGGAAACATTGACCACAATCGGCTCTGAGGACAAAGAAGGTTGCTTCAGTTTCTCACTCAAATCTATTGCGGAATTAAAATAAGGACAATTGAAAAATCCTTCCTGTATAATTATTATTTTTTTTTTTTTTAAAAAAAAAAAAAAAAAGCGATTATTCTCATGTAATCATTGCGGTTCGGATTACCGGATGAAACTTATCAAAAATACATACAACATGATAACAAATACTACCTCCTCCGTCGGAACTGGATTTTCTAGTAAAAATAGTCATGTTGAAGCCATTTGAAAGAAATTGCACTATTCCTAAAATTTATTCGTCTACCCAGCCAATCATTGCAATCATAGCGATGATTACTAGTTTATTACCAGAAATTCTATGACCACGTTGGATACATGGTATTTTACAAGGATCATTTGAATCATCTGGTCTCTGATTTCCATAAACGAATTACCCCTTTTGGTGCTAAACCTATATGTGAAACAACTAGTCATTGGCCTATTTTCTGAATAATGTAGTTTCTATGAATGTTTAGCGGATGTTTTCGTTTCCCACGCGAAATTTCATTTTACTCATTTTATTATTATTATTATGCTAATATATTGATTAGGAACAAAAACCCACGAATTTTTTTTGACATTGATGTCAACGGTTCTCGTTTTGGCGTGAGTCATTGAACAGATGAAATAGTAATAATAGATTTCATGTAATAAAGATCATTATAATCATTTCCTTTTTAATTTAATATTTAGCGTATTGTTATTGAGTTGAGAGCCGATGTGGTTCCCAAGACTGGTAGTCGTCAAACTTGAATTCGACCCGTTTACATAAAATCACATTTTTGTTCTTGTTTTTTTTATCTTTACGACCGCACATTTAATCACGTCCCTTTCCGATAATTTTAAACAGCCGAGAATTTTCGCGTACTATGCACAGGTGAAAGGGGTTTTGGCTATCGTGGTTCTAACATATTCAAGATTGTTCCAAACTGGTACATCAAGGGTGGCGATTACATTAATAACGATGGGTCGGGGAACGAATCCATCTATGACGAGAAATTGTTTCCAAATGAAAATTACATCTTAAAACATGATAGACCAGGTAACGAGCGAAGGACATATCATCCGACTAATATTTTTGGAAGTCGACAGATGCATCACCCTCGTTCGATTTATCCTATTAACATCAGGATGAGGGATTTTTTCACAGGCGTTGTTTCCATGATCCATGGAGGTGATTACACGAGTGGCTCGCAATTTTGCATTTATCTTTCCAAGGCCGAATGGTTAAACAATGTGCAGGTCGTCGTTGGTCATGTAATTGATGGTGCGTTACCACCATAGCTCAAAATTTTCTCTCTCTCCACGCGAATATTAATTTTCGGTTTTATTATGACAACAGGATGGAATGTCGTAAAGGAGTTGGGGACGTTCGATTCTTTAGAAAATGGTTCACCGGAATCTGTCGTCAAAATTTTTGAGTGCGGTCAACTCTCCTAACCTTTGTTTTATACATGCGAATGTTTTTTTTTTTCTATGTAATGTGCAAGTTAACTCTGATGCGTAGTGTCCGTCATTTTCCTGCATCGTCGATTGTGCTGAAAAAGCGGTCAATTGGAATAATTGATGTGTGGTGTCATATTTGCGATTCTATGTCGTCTTCCACCGACGTATATCTCGAAGTTATAAGAGGATTATTATCAACCTCTTGTTTTAAGAAAGTAAAACTCGAGGTCCGAGAAGTTGAATGATGGTGTTTTTCAATGAAACGCGCGTAAGCATGAACCACGAATCCAAAGTAAATCTTGGTAGTACAGATCAATACATTATTATTGTGGTGGTTGGCATGGAGGAGGCAAAAATTTCTTGAGAGATTAATCAATTAGCTTACATGTACAATCGTCACCGAGGCCAAAATCAAATTGGCTATGGTTGATTCGACCTTCCATGCCGGCAATGACGATGTCCCTTGTGGCGAGATGGTATTATCATTATCACGTTCTTTTTTTGGACGCAACGGTGCATGATCCATCACAAGATACCACATAACTTCAAATGTGAACGTGAATATGATATTTACAATCAAATCCATCCAATAAAATAATGAATAAAAGTAGAGAATTCTTGGATCTTCCTAATGCAGCGAAGGGGAAGTGCATGATTATTATGATGTCAAGTGATTCTCTTAAATTCACCGATGCATTTCTCCTTACCCTGAGCACGCCGAAATAGAGAAAGTAGGCAAATGCCATCGACACGACCATTGAATAGAAAAATGATATGATCGATATAGTGTCTCCGCCATAAAATATTGTAAACATTCCAAAAAATCCCGATAGTTTATTCAGCTAGATGAGTGTTCATTCATTCATCGGAAAACGGTGAATGTTTCGAGGACGTTAGGTGATGACATGCATGCGTGTGGTATAAAATTGATTGATTGATTGAAAATCAAGAATTTACCAGGGCAAATGTGGTTATCAGAATTACTCCTGTGTGATTGAGACGGCAAAGATTATCGATTTCGATCGTAAAGCATGGACAATTGTGAAGCCACCAAACGTTAACATGAATTCTTACCTCTCTGTAGCTCCACCAGACCACAGAATTTTCTTATCCTCATCTTTTTTATGTATGACATGATTCTCGCTCGATGCGCAATTTCGTCTTCGTGAAGAAATTTTCAGTGAATTCGTCAGAGGCGATAAAATCAAAAGATGTAAAACATTCTGCTCAAAAAAATATTCTGCCGAGCTTTTCATGCATGAAGCACTCACTCACTTTTTGGATACCTAATGATTATAGGGTTCAATAAGGTCTTCACTCGGCTATTATGTAATGTATAAATTGGATTTTCGTGATTTATCGACCTCAGGTTTGTTTTTTGTTTTTTTTTTTTTAAAGTGGAGATTTTTCCGTAATGAAAGTATGAAGGTGTGTACTATAGCCAAGGTTATAAATAATAAACCCGGTAAATCCGTTGATCCCAATTTGTACGTCGGTCCGGTTCACCATCCACTTCATGGATTATTATAACCCGTATACGTAAACTATATGAACTATATAAAGTAAGATCATTTCCACATTCGTCAAAGTAGCATCGGCAATTTTTATTGAAAAAACCTGTGACCGGACTTGGCGGCTTGGCGTTAAAAAAAACATCGCACAAAAATTATTTTTTTAGTATGCAGTAAACAAGGTGGGATTCCCTTAAGGACGAATGTAAAGGCTCGTAGTTTGGTAATGTTTTTCATTTCTATAGGAGAGTTTATCTAATTTAATTAAAGCTATTAAATCGTGCGAAAGAGATTGATATTCTCATTGCGTCATAAACATTGCTCGGTGGGGTTTGATTCATTTCCCTGGAAAAGATGTACAATTACGTATTGCATGAGGATGATGTTGATTGTTGCTAAATTCTATCATTATAAAGCAATTGTTTAAAAGTTTTAAGTTAAGTGTATATTATCAATATAGAAATAACAATGTATGCATATATGATCTATTTATTATATGAATGTTTCATATAAATTAGTTATTATTGTTTGGCATACAAAGGACCAACTAACGTTTATTTTATTTGTCTTCTTAATACTTTTCACACAAACGAAATTATCCACATTCAAAAAGAATCAATCAATGTACAATATATACACTTTGAACTAATGAATTAATTGTTCCAGAAACCGTCGAATTTCAAATTTTAATTGAAACATACGATTATAAATTATCTGCCATGATTAGATATTGCTATTAAACATCATTACAATGAAAAAATAATAATAAATTCCGGGCAATCGTTTTGCATTATGTTTTAAGTCTATATATAGATTAAGATGACAAAAATGGATGAAATATTAAAAACAATAGAATTAAAGTATTAGTCGTAAATTGATTTTTTTTCTTAATAATCTAAGGAATTATAACTTTGTGTATCCGACGTATCTCTATCTCTATTTGATGCCGGAATTAAATTGTGCAATAACGCAACGCGCATAAATAAATCCCGCAATGCCAGTCGCAAACCGGCCGTGGGTATGTCGTGTGACAATAGATCGATCGCTTCGGGATAAAAGTCTGGTAGAAATCGCAAAAGCTATCAAAAAGATGAAAATGTAAAGTATGACGATAAAAAAAACGGATATAAATAAATGCAAAGATAGAAAGATTTTACATACATCATCATTGTTGAAATTGACAAATGCATTCAAAACGGAAATTACTACAGGCGTCCAGGCATTAATGTTTCGCGATTGTGATTCATGATCCAATGAGTTATAGTGTTTGCATATTTGCAAGGAAAGCCTAAAGACGCATTATATCTCAACAAATATTATCATAAATTGTAACACAAGCCGCGTGATGAACCTTACTTACGGTAGCAATTTCTGTTCGATCATGTCCCTCTTTTCTTTGCGTTCCTCGGAATCATCTTGATACATCCTAACTAATAAACTTAAATAGCTAGACGCACTGCTCGACTCTTGCTTAAGCAAATTCGGTAATTGTTTCATAAATCCTGAAAATGATCGATATACATATCTATTAAATAAATGTTGATAAAAAGCTTGAGAACGCTATTTGCACGATCATCACCTATTTTCCATAGCGCGATCCTCAAGTTTTTGTCTTCGTTGAATTTTCGCGCGAAAATATAAGATTTCTCCAAACATTCGCCGGTTATCAACAAATGTACCGAAGGAATCGATTCATACACCGATTCGTTATTCAACAGCTCGTTAACAACATCGATGAGAAGTAGCTGTAGCAAACATTTGATGATGATCTGATTAAATTCTTGAGCTCGTTGCTCGTTGGGCTGTATTGTTGCCGTCGTCGAATGTTCCGAATCAATGTAGCTATCTTCGATCATTGAACGCGTGTTTAGATCAACCTCGGAAACGAATCCGTTTACACCACTCCCATTTTGACCTAGACACGTTAAAAAGTGAGGCGATTGGTTAAAAAAAGAATTCACCTCGATTTATCTTTAGTCACTTACCGCTGTACATTCCATTCAGCCCATTGGCAGCTTCGATGAAACGGTGTTCTTCATCAAGTAAGTTATAAGGGGTTGTCGACTCAAATAATTGGACCAACTTAGAACTAATCTTTCCCCAGTGGTCGTAATCTAGTTTCTTCACATTGTCCACAATCAATTGTTGTAAGCAAGAGCACCCGATACGAGCCAATGTATCATTCTCTGAGAGTTTACGAGAAGGTATATGGATTTATGCGATGAGGAAAAACAATAATCGGAGTTCATCAACAAGTGAACATAATTACCTTGAATTATGCAGCAACCTAGTAAATCCAATATTCCATCGATCATGACCTCGAGTGTATCAAAATAATAGGTAAAGAGGTCGATCATATTACGAAGGGCTTGAATCATTGTTGTTGATAACCACACGCTCATATCTTCGTGACTGGAAAACTTTGAAATATCTGATCGAGATCTCAGAATGCCAAAAATGGGAAAGAGAATCTGTCGACATATTGCACCCCAAAATTCCAGTGAGTATGTGAAACCGAATTTTTTGAGCGTGTCGAACATCGAGTTCAACGCCCTGCATGCATGCATTACATGAAGAAATGAGACACCGATGAACATTCCATATTCAATTAGGAATAGAATTCAGTTATTAAAAGTGATAACAACCTCGTTCGAACCTCCAAGTCTTCTCCGTTCATTATAACATCATGGAATCCGAATAATAACGGATACCAAAATTTGAATGACGGATCATCGTTGGTGATCACTTTATTATTGGAAGTTACGCCCTCAACACCATTCGAGCCATTGACGGGTTCATGAATCCTGTATTGTGGATATTCCAACATCTTTGGAATTGAAGCGCATATGAGTTCAATCGCTTGGAGGCTTACCGTTGTTGAAAGGTGAAGGAAGGTCAATCGTTGAGTAAAAAAAAAGAAACTTGACGATAAAAATAAAAATCGACGAACAAACAGTATTTACCTCGTTTTCTGAAAACGTTTGTTTTTACTGAATTCGGTGAGACAAACCATAAGATCAGGATAATTACTGTTGGACACCACGTCGTCAAATTGATCTTTGATTAACGATCTGACGAGATCGAATGCCATCACCACAATCGACTCTAAAATGTCAAGCAATATTAGATCCACGGATTGTCGAAGAAGTGAAACAATTGAAAAGTGCTGCAAGTTACACAACCATTGTCCTCCCTCGCAGCGGCCGAAAAAACGCCAAATAGGGATTTCCAACCGGATTTGATGTTGTGCGATTTTGCTTGAATCATTTGCTGAATACA